TGACCACAACTGATCCTTCGACGCCACGCCTGGGATGCTGGGTCTATGGGGGTGGCAACTTACTTTTATGAGCTCGTATTAAGAGCATTGCATGCCTAGAAAATATTAACTCATGTCGTAAAGATTGGCCATGACAATTCAGGCTCAGGCCAGTTCCTCTCCTCGCTCATTGAAATGCTAGTTCAGTGAACATACTTCAGAACAGCAATAACAATAAATGTGTACCAGTAAAGAAACATATGGTCCAAAGCAAAACGGATTTTGGTGGTGTGCATGCCAATGAAAAAACTATCTGGGAATTTTGTTTTTGTTAAGGGGAGCAGCCCCCCTCTTATTGAGAAAAGGGGGACCCATCCCTCCTTAGCGATGTCCATCCCACGAGCCCAAAAAACCCGTGACCTCGGCGAACACCCTAGATTTTTAGCAACAAGGTCATTGATAAAAACCCTGAGTTTAAAAATAATTGATAATAAATCGAGTTTTTAACAGCCTTGTCTGTTCGCCTATCCGTCTATCCGTTCGTTTGCCAATGTCCCGGAGCATCCCGCCGGTGCCGGCCGGAGGAGGGCAGTAACAGCAATGACTTTGACCTGCCATAAGTCAGCGACCATACACGGTACATCTACATGTTTGACACCGAACGATCCGATATTCAATTGTCTACGACTATGCAAAATTTGGCGTGGCTACGTCGTGCTGTTCGGAAACCACTCCGGGAAAACCTTCTGGGGTGGGGTCAAACTGACCCTCGCCATCCGAGCGCGTGTCAACGATCTTCCGTGTGTCACTGAATCCGGCTGCCTTTTGTACGCCGACGATGCAAACAATTTCCGTTAATAACGTTCCCGGCTGACGGCTTCCCGCTCCAAAAGGATCTTTATCACCTGGTGGCGTGGTCGGTCAGGTGGGCCAGGTCGGTTTTACTAGTTCTCAACCCAGTAAAATGTAAAACGTTTGCGACGATCCTCAGGCGTGCTCCTGTCCGGACCCAGTACTTTATCGATACAGCTGAGCC